TGAGGCAGCGAGTCGTCTTGTCAAGATCCACAAGAGGGAGAACGTCGATCTCCGCAGCAATGGTGCAGCGCTCCCTCACCGATTTCCCTGGACGAAACGCGTCAATGGCCCGTGCCACACGTTGGCGCTGCGGCATTGTCACCTCCGCCGGACTCGTGCAACGCTCCAATTCGTACGAGAGTGCGCACAAATCCGCCACGGCACTCGTAACGTTTGCCTGCGGCGGCACAGGGCGCTCTCGCACAAGATTTCCATACATTTTACGCGCTTCTTCCACAATATCAAACCACCCTTGATCCAGTGACACAAACAGTACGGTGCGCAAAATCACCTCTGCGGGTGATGCCTCCTGCTCCACCCCACGTGATGGATCCATGACGGTCAAAGAGGCCGTCACTAGCTCCCTTTCCTCAAAACTCCCCTCAATAGCCGCAATAGAACGCAAGATGGCGAGCATGTCACCCAGCAACTCATTCCTGCAGGAAGAATTCATATCCTCTCCCTTCTCAGAGAGTCGGTGGTAACGGCGAGAGCATGTGCCAGCAAAGTCCAAAAGTTCAGCGGTGGAAGAAAACACGGGCCGGCATCCTGCAACCGAGCTTGTGTCTATTGCGGCGGCAGGCTCCGGGTACCAGGCCCAAGAGGCATAAACCATATAGAGCATGATGGCGCTCACAGGCACACCGATGGTAATGCGTAGCGCCTGGCGCAAACGGAAGTGGATAAAAGTACGGTAGGCAATCACACCCACTTGGACGTAGTTCCCAGTCAATAGAAAAAGAGGCCAAATGAAATCGCTGGGAAATACCCGCACCTTATCACCCACGCAAGAAGCCAAAGACCGTGCCCTCCATAACAGCTGCGTATGCGTTCGCAAACAAAACACAGAGCTTCTCATCCCGTCCCTTTTGCCTCCTAAGGTTCGGTAGCAACACACCAACCGCACAACCTCTCCTTTTCCTCCTCGGTCACGTCTCTCGTCGGTACTTTTTACTCTTCCCTTTTGCTATTGGCTTCCTTCTCGTCTCTGGCGCTGGCATTGGGTGTCCTCCCTCTCTTTTCCCACCACGTCTGGTGCCCTCCAGCTCTTTTTTACTTCCTGTTTGCTGGGTTTCCCCCTTTCCTTTCCTCCCTCGCTCGCTCTGTCTGCTGGAATTCGCGCGGAGAGGCACGTGGTGTGCGTGAAAAAAAGAAATTGGGGAGAAAAGTACACACAACGCCACCTCCCTTCGCCAAAGAGGGCCGAAGAGAATCCCGCATCGTACTTGCCACACAAAAAAAAAAAAAAAAAAAAACCGCATCTCTCCCTTCTTCTACTTCTTCCCAACATTTCTTTCCTCTCTCCCCCGTCCCCTCCCCTCATATAGGAAGAAATCCAAATCGATAGAGTGTGAAGGCTGGCCTATGCGATCGGTTGAAGCATAAGCCAATCTCCTCCCCAGCCTGAATTTCTCGCACAGCTTGCAACTCCGCGCAGCTTCCAACCTCAGGGCGGGGCTGCACCTCTACACTCACGTTTCCGGAGGGCAAATGATTAGTCATGTCCAGCAGCGGCACAAGAGTTGGGACAAGGCGGTAGTCATCCGCGGCATTGCCATTGCCAAACACGGCACCCACCATGGCCCGAATTCGTTTTAATAACCGTGTCTGCCGCTCCGCCCGTTCAAAGGTGGAAAGGGCAAAGTAGTTCAGTGTGGAGCCCAGTTCTGCGGGAGCTAAGCCACGGTCTGGAAGCAAATGCATGCGGCTCAACACAGTTCTCCATGCCCAGTAACACAACTCAACGGGTGGAGCCTTGTCTCCCCAGCGGCGTGCCAGTGTGCGGAAAACGGTAATCCACTCTCTCTGGTGGTCATCCCACTCCACAAGCTGCATCGGGTCCAGTACGTCCTTATGCAGGCTCATCACCGCCTCATCGTTTACAGCGGGGTACGGCAGGGAGTCAAAGTAGGGCGTAAAAAAAGACTTTGGGTCAAGTCGTTCCCCCGCAACGAGGAGCGCAAGAAAAACCTGCTCGCACAGGACAGGATCCTTGATGCTACACGCAGTCAAGAAACTTTGGACCTCGTCCAATGTGGGGGGATGAAGAGAACGAAGATGCTCACCTTCAAGTAGTCGTTCTGCGCTGATGGCAAATGTGTGCATCGGAACGGATAGCACCGTCGTGCCCTCACGAAACTTCCGTGTGGCAATAAGCCCCCGGCTTTGCTCAGCACTCGGCCGCACGTCCACCCCATCGAATTTGGCCTTGTTCGCAGTGAGAAATCGCATAAAAGTCTCGTGACGCCTCTCGTACCCACCACTACATCCTTCCGCAGCCCGCGACGAAGAAGAAGCGGCTGCCGCTCGTATGATGAAACACGACTTCAACATGACCACCTCGCCCTCCTCTATTCCTTTCCACTTCTTTTGTGTTTTTTACTACCGCCCCCCACCCACCCACCCCTTGAATACTTCGCGTGGGCAACCGTGCCTCCCAAGAGAAGAAAGGAAGCAAAGGGGGGTGAGAATGCAAAGCAACAACAACAAAGAAGCATCCCTGTAAAATTATCCAACCGTCATCCCATCATCCCTCCACACACGCACACGTCAATCCCATTTACATGCATCGACATGTGTGGCTGGGGCAAATTCAACAACACACACACACACAAAAAAAAAAAAAAAACTCCTGCAACTGTGCGTCACATACCCCTCATTGCCACTATGCAGGTGAACTGGTGTTGTGCATCTAAACACAAATATATATATATATGAACAAAGTCAGATAACTTCGCCCAAAAACACAAGAAAGAGACGATCAAATGCAACAGAGTCTAAAAAAAAATGTCGAGACGCAATACGGAAAGGCGAAAGACCAAACAAAGAAAATATATATATATATACAATAGGGTGACAACAAGCACGCGAGCTAAATAACGCAGACAGGCAGCAGTTTTCCGGCCATCCACAAACCATCCTTCAAACAGCGAGAGGAGTGCGTACTGCTTGCGTCTTATTCTTGCGAACAAGCTAAAATACACAGTCATTGCGTCCCCGCCCCAAGCGGCCCAAAGAAATGTAATATTCTTTTCGCTCCAAAAAGCAGCACCTTCCCGCAAAAGATCCTTCACTGCCACTTATATAACCGTCCTTCTTTTGCAGCCACTGGCGAGGAATGCCAACAGAGCGGCACGCCTCAACAGGCACGTTGCACTTGTGACGGTCCGGGTTCCGTGTATCAATGACGCTGATGCAAGGGCACCCATCGGTTCGGAGAGCGCTAGAAGACCCTGTCCCTCTCGCCACCCCGGACCCCCGCTGTGGGGTCGCTCCCCTGGCGATGGCGGCAGTAGCCACCAGTCGCGCCGCCAGGAAGGGATGCGAGGCCACGGCTTCGTTTCAGAAAAGACCCCGTTAAAAGAATCGACGCAGGACGAAAAGGCAGGTTCCCCCCCGCGGCGGGCATTCCGCCTGTATAATCAACCCCAGAAGAAAAGGTTCCTCTCCCATTCGGCTCCGTCTCCTCCCATTTGTGCGGTGGCCTTTGTGCAAACAGCGGCAAATTTTCCGAGCCAGCGGCTGACCACAAACTCTCCTTTCGCTGAAAATGCCCCTCGACGACGGATTTTCTCCCACCATGCGGCGCACGCGTTACGTTACACAGGATAGATTTCAAAACGGGCCTCTTCGCCTCATCCCCTTCATGCATTAAAACAACATTTGGCAATTGGAGGGGCGGTGAGATTGACGATGGCGGTGTTGGGAGCCGCTGCCTGTAAATTTCCTCCCGGACCTTATCATCGCTTAATGGCCCAGCCTTCAACGGGACGAAACAATTTGGGGATCGCACCGATTCGTTCTCGGCAAGGCGCACCACCGTTCCCACCTCTTCCTCTTTGTTGCTCCCATAGCCACGTAGCGACTGCGGAGACGGCGATAAATCGCCACCCCGACTGCCCGACTCCCAGCCAGGCCCAGTCATGTTCATCCTCCCATCAGCAGCGTCAATGCGTCCCACGAGGACGGGATATTTTCTTGGCAATCGTGCCCCCTCCCCGTCCGCACCCATATCGAAACTATGCACCTTGCTCGCCGGCCTGGGTTTACTGGAACCATTACCGCCCCTTTTCTTCCTCGCAGCACGCTTCTTGCCCGCGTCAGTGCTGCTCCTTTCCTCCCGCTCGCCTCCACGCGTCGTCGAGACGCTCCTCTCCTTATCAGCGGCAACGGGTATTTTGTCGCATTCTATTCCCCCGCCACCGCATTCCGTCAAGGCTCCCACTCGCAACAAAGCAGCCGCATCATCGGCACCCTTGTTCTTTTTCATCTCGTCCTTCTTTGAGGTTTTAACGACACTTTCTTCGCTCAATTTCTTCTTTATTGGCAATTCCGAGCGGAAGCTGAAGCGTTGCAATTGCCCAGCACCCAACGCCTCAAACGTCAGACGCTCATCGTCAATGGCAGTGTCGCCCATAAATATGCGTTGCGACGGGTGTGGAGCAAAAAGCTCTCGCAGCGTTCCGACGGGATACCCACGACAAACACGCAGTCGGCGGAATGAGGCGGTTATTTCAGAAGATGCCAAATAAGAAGCGGCGCATGTGACTGCACCACCTACCTTCTCTTCCTTGTCTTCCTTCTCCCCTGGGATGGCAGCAGCTGTTTGGCCTCCGACGACTATCACCACGTAGTCATCCGACACGGCCCGCGGATCGGGCCTCTCAAGACTCGGGATACTCCGTCCTTCACGGAGCAAACGTTGGCTCCGGACCTCGACTGGATCTGGGGATGGCGACGACGATAGCACCGGCACCGCTGCCGCTGGCGCCGTGGTTCTTATTCCATTGTGCGGCAGCACCAATGACCACTGTTGCACGGCGTGGGAGAAATCAGGCGAGGTTCTCAAAAAAGAAACATCCCGATGCTGTGGCAACTCCGGGGAAATGAGTGCAATAGAGGCAGACAGTGGAGTGGCAACCAGCCTCATAACGGCCAAATTTGAAAACGACAACGAAGTGCGGTTGGAATTTGCGGCCACACTGGGCGGTGAAATGAAGCTAGAGGCGGATCGCCCTTTCGCCCCGTCGTCTTGGAATTGTCGTGCGGCATCTGTGCCGAAATGCAGGTGGAGAACCGCGCCGTTCGGCAGCTGTTCCACCCTCATGCCTCCTTCCAGGGGCTTGTCGTCCAGAAAGAGAGCAGGCACAGCGCTGTTGCGTGATGCATTTGGAACCGCCATCTCTGCCACACCGTGACGCACTGAATTGAGGGAGGTTGCCGGGTCAACAGACATAATGAACTCCCTGCCACACGCAATCACTTTGAGAGGAACAGGGGCCACCGGCGGCTTCTTGCTGGCGAAACTCGTCTTCAGGCACTCGCACGGCCACCTCATTTCCTTCAGCTCGTTTTCTCTCCTTTTATATACGCCCTGAAGTGACGTGCGGCAAACTCTATTAACGTTTGTGTGCCAGTCGGCAATCGAACTTGCTGCCTGCCTCCACACCACAGCCCCACCCACCGCGGAGGGCGGCACGCAAGACAGAAAAAAAAAAATAAGGGAAAAAATAATAAAAGATGAATGAGAATATCAAACGAAGAAGTCGACGCTACGCCAACGGTTCAGCAAGGCGCATATATACTACACACACACACTCACTCACTCAATTACTCAATTTACAGACGGATCAAACAACAATAAAGTCTGATACGAGTGATCTGTGTAGGTCTCTGTGGAATCTATGGAGACGCAGACGCATATACACACACGCACAAAGGGATAAGCAAAGAGTGAGACCTATACGTATGAGCTTCTCTCCCGCTCCTCTCTCCCTCTCCGAGTGTGAATTTATTACTCTCCTCCTTTCTTCAAGCAGCCTCAGCAATGCGGAGACATGTGCACGTGCCATACTTGGCACACTCCAGCATCCACACGCAAACTCTTGGCCCGCTCCAGTGTTAGTGTCGCGTCCCGCACATACACCGTCGGCGGGTTGCCGCAGGAACTGCTGTTGCAAGCATCATTGTTATTATTATCAGCTTCAAGCGGGAATCGGCGATACCCACTCCACAAGGAGGAGCCACCATCACTCAAACCCACTAGACGCGAAACCAGGGCGCCAGTTTTCGTAAGCTTGTCACTGTCGTCCCACAGAACAATGATGGTCGGCTGCGGTACCCACAAAAAACACTGAAGCCACTCACACAACTGTGCCTCATCCAACTCGTCGTTCAGGCCACTGAAGGGACCTGTAGCATTTTTGCCACTCTGATTATGATGATGGCCGTTTTGCCTCAGGTGAATAAAAAGCGGTCCCGTAGGGCCAAGAAGAAGAGCGTGAGCATACACGCTGCGCGTCCTGAAACAGCCGCAGCTCGCGGCATGGCTGAGGAAAGACTCAAGATCTGGGTTTCCTGCCGCTGCTGCCGCCGCCACCGTCCCCACATCTGCGCCAGACACTAGACACATCAAACCATCACCATCGTACACAGCTGAAAAGCACTTGGCGTGAAGATCCCTGACAAGTGAAAAGGAACCATCCTCCGTCAAGAGGCGGTTCGCAAGAAGAACCACGCTGATATCGTTCGAGGCTCCCATCGCCTCATGCAGCACCGCCTGCGTCGACATAAGTTCATAATCGCCACACAGAAATCCGCTCGCACTGAAATCACCATCAGCCGTGCCTTCAACATCAACACGGCCATTTGACCGGTCAAAGTCACCGCGTCCCACCATAACGAGACGCATATCACAGTCCTTAAAAGGCCGTGGCGAGCTGCGGGGCCAGACCGCCGCCGGTTGCAAATCCCATTGGCTGTCACCATGCTCCGCTAGCAGTTGCTGCAGCGCAACGAGAAGGAAACCAACGTAAGGCATCTGTTGCTCTCCTTGAAGAAAGATAAATTGTCTGTCATCTGTCAAGCCATAACCGCCGTATGCGATGAGTAGATGCTGCGCCACTTGGCTCAAAGAATGTGCGGGTTCAAACGTGTCTTGTGGACGCCCGTGAAATAACCAACAGCCGCGCAGCACACGACATGTCTCTAATACAACGCGCTTCCAAGAAAACTCCTCGTCCCCACTCTCTTTTGAAACAAGCGACTCTACAGTGTGACGAATATTCTGCATCCAATAAGCAAATGTACTCATCTCCATGCGTGGTCGCTTTCTGCACGAACTTGCGACCGACGACGCCCCAATTGCTGCATCCCCAGCAAATGCACCGGCGTCATCCGCACTCGCGGCGTAAAAAGGCGTCCTCCAAGCGCAGCAATTGGAAACTGCATTATCCATCACGCGGTTGCACAAGAGCCGGATGTGTGAGCCCCCTAAATAACAAAAAATAATAATAATAATAACAATAAGAAGAACAAAGACAATTCAAAGTGGGTGGTGCAGAAATACCGACAACAGCAGTAGGTGATGCCACGCCGAGCGCCAACAAAGATGTGGCATTCGGCCGCTCCCCTTGTTGGTGCCCCATCCTCTTCTCCCATTTTGTTCATTGGCTGCTGCGGCCAACAAATTCGCGTGATTGCTGACATCTCGCCTGGAAAAAAGCAGCACGAGTCAATTTTTCCGTACATTCATATTTTTTCCACTCACCTTCATACCTCTCAGGAGACGGAATGAAGAGTAAAAAAAAAAAAAAAAAGAATTGAGAGAGAAAAGCCGGGGAGTTTGTCAGACAAACACACACGCAAAACTTGGCAGCTCCCCACTCTCCCCCTTATTCACTCCTTTCCCTTCTTTGCTTTTTTTTTTTCTTCTTCTTTTTTGGTGGGTGGAAGAAGTTGCTTTGTTTTTAATAAATCAAAAAAAGAGCCACATAGACACAAACCGACAGACAGAGAAAAGGGCGAACACATCCCTGCCCATGGGTTACGCAAAGGTATTGACTTTATTGCCTCCAAAATCCATTCGTATCTTTTCTTTACACAAGACAGCAGAAATGCACTCACGTTTTCACTCTCTCATATTCAACCTTCTCACTATTGCTCTGCCGCTGTTGTTTGTCTTCGTCGTCGTTGTGTTTGCTCTCTCTCATTCCATGAATTCTCTATACATGAATCACGCATCCCTCATCTCCCCTTCTCCCTTAGCTCTGCTGTACCTGTTGTACGTGGTAGTTTTCTATCTTCTCCAGGAAGGTTTGGGCATACTGTGGTGAGTAATACTGCACAATCTCAGGCGGATAACAGTTATTGATGCTTTGAATGTACTCTGCAAGCTTCGACCCTGGCTCGGGATGAATACGCTGCACGGTGGCGAGGCCGCGATTGGCAACAAACTCGCGTTTCGCCGCAATATCCGTTGGGAGAACTTTTGCAAACTGCCCGCACACATACTTGAGCACCTTTTGTGGCGCGTCCGGGTGCAGTAGCGGCTCTAGTGCAGGGAGCTGCAAACAACGCTGAATAATGTTCTTCAGCGCTCGTTTGCTCTTCATGCGGAGATCTTCTGAGCTTTTCGGGTTTAAGTACACATCCAGCAGCCGTGGGAGCACATTGCAGTCCGCAACGGCTTTGGCGTGGTCGGCGCTGTGGCGGCCAATCTGTCCGAGCGACCAGGCAGCTGCGGCCTTGATGTGATCCTCCGGTTCCTTCTCCAGCGCATCTGCAAGTGGTACAATGCCGTGCGAGACGATGACAGCAAGCGCGAGGGTCTCAGAGAAGGCGGAGATGAAACCAAGCGTCATGATGCCCGGTAGACGCGCGCTGTCTCGCGACTCGCTCGTGTAATCCACGAGGGCGCCCACACCACCCGCGTTTACCACCAGCTGCGCCAACTCCGGTGTGTGCTTCGCAATCTCACGAATGCAAGTGGCAGCGTTTTTGCGCACCACCTCATCGCTATCCTTGAGAAGCGTGAATATCTTGGGGAATATTTCGCCTTCCACCACCAACTCCGCCAGCTCCACGCTGTGCTTTGAGATCTGCGCCAGGCACTGGCATACTTGCCGCCTCAGTTTGCTGTCGTTGCTCATGATGAGCGGAGCGAGATGGGTGACGGCGTCCTGGTCCACCACCGCCTGCGCAAGCTCAGGCAAATGTTTCGCGATGTCAGAAAGCGTGGAGGCTGCTGTGCGCTTCAGTGACAACTCCGGCTCCTGCACACACAACACCAGCGGTGGAATGGCGCCCTTGTCCACCACCTCTTGCGCCAGCGGGGCATTGTGCCGCGCCACATATCCAAGCGCCCACGCCGCACTCTCCTTCACGGTTGGATCAAACTCCTCCAGGCAACCAACGAGAGCCTCCACCGCCTGACTGTCCACAACTGCCTGCGCCAATTGCGGCGAGTGCCGTGCAACACTGCGCAGAACAAACGCTGCTGACTTCTTGTAAAATCGGCTCTGGTCGCTGAGTGAATAAACCAATTGTGCCAAGATGTCTCCAGAGACGACGTTTTCGGCGAGCTCCTCGCTGTAGTTTGCAAGGCGGCCAAGCGCTAGGGCAGCCGACTGCTGGATGGAGGGAACACTGTCTAAAAGAAGAGGTCGAAGTAGCTGCATGACACCCGCCTGCTGCAGCGCTTCAATGTGTTGCGGTTTGGAGGCCAAGTCCGCTATTGTTTGCACAAACTTGACGCGTGCCCTTTGGTACTCTTCAAATACCTGAATGATCTGGCGGTTGGGCATTTCTCGTTCCTCTCTCCTCTTCTTTTCCTCTTGTTGGGGTGGTGAACTCGCTGGATCCTTCAAATAAAGTGGTGTGCGCCGCGCGTATTTGTGTGTGTTCGCAGCTTTACCACGTTCGCTTCTCTACCTGTGTGTATCTCGCTCGGACACGTGGAAAACGTTACAACTACCCGCGGGGGGGGGGAAATAATACCAAATATGAGAAAGGAAGAAAAAAAAAACTATCAGCAGCAGACATGGAAAAGTAAATCCCAAAGAAAAACAAAAACAAGTCACTCCTGTCGCCAAGATGGTGTGTGTGTGTGTGTGTGGGAGAAATGCACGCACTGACGGTGAACAAATTACACATCTAACCCCGTTCCACCACTGGGAATTGTGGCAAGTCGACGCTCAGACTCCAAGAGGGCTTCATTCAGCAGCAGCACCTCCGCCTCATGATGGCGTGCGTCTGCGATGATCTTGCTCTTCATCAGTGAGAAGAGCTCCCGCAGCTCGGCATCGTGCTTCCCCGCCGACTCCGTCCTCAAAGCATCCGCCACTCTCCTCCCCAGCAGCCGGTTGTACTGTTCCTCCAACTGCTTCACACGCAAGGTCAGAAGTGAGACGGCTGCATCGCCCCCAATACCACCTCTCACACCACCACTGGTGCCTCGAGAGGAATCCTCGGCCCGTTTTTCAAATTCCTGGAGGCGGTGCCTCAGCCGTCGCACCTCCTCCTCCCGCTGCTGCAACTTGTCACGCAATCGTCTGACTGTCGCCTCGTTTCCTTCACCCTCATCCCGTTGCAGCGCGGTAAGGCGCTGCAAAAGCTGCTGATTTTTGGCATGCAGTCGCCTCATGATGCCGTCTGCAACCTCAAGTCTTCGCTGCAAGTCCGTAGCGGAGGACGCTGACTGCACTAACGATGAAGGCGGTGAAGATGCGGGTGCTCGTTTCTCACGGCCACTCCGCCGCCGTCGCTGCAATCCACGCAAAGACGGCTCCGCGCTGGCCGCGCGTACGACCCTGTTGGCATCGCGCTGGCGGGTCTCTATTTGCAGTGTGTCCTGTAGCGCAGCAAAAAGCTGCAGCGCCTCATCCACCTTGTTGGGCCTCATCGCGCCACTCCCACCTCCTCCTATTGGTACCGTCCTCGTCGTTGAGTCACGTGCGGCAAAATACAAAATATATATATATATATATATATATATATATATATAAGATAAGACGACATGTAAAGGCCACGTAGAAAGCAACAACTGCCTTCCGTCGTAATCGAGAGACACAGAGAACAATATACAACTGCCATCGACCCGTCATCACCCGCCAACCCTCACTCAGCCACACATTAAATAAATAACCAAAATATATATAAATATATATATATAGCCAAAAAAAAAGAAAAAAGGCGATGATCCAAGTGAAGCAAAAACCACAAGAGCATATACGATAAAAGAGGAAAAAATAAACTTCTCTTCCCCATCATCCGCTGCTGCTTCTAACATACTTCCGTCAACGACTGTAGCCGCGCCATAGTAGCAAACAACGCTCCTTGCGGCGTAGCTCCTCCTCGAGGGCGCACAGTCGTTCAGCATGTTCAAGTAGAATAGACTCTTTTTCCACTAGCCGCTGCTGCGTGCGGTGCAATTCTGCCGCCTTGGCATCCACTGCCTCTCGCGACCGCTGGACATCTCTCCGCATCTCCTGCAACCTCTCTTGCGCTTCCGCCAGCCTCCGCTCTCGCCGAAGGAGTTCTGCCTGCGCTGACTCCAACTCGTGCATGACAGCAGCAGCGTCGATGGAGGCGTCTATCCTTCCACCCAATGCACCGGAACAAAAGGCAAGCTTTTCCAACTCCCTCCCCCCATCTATGCCTTCATTCTGTACGGCCTGGCGAGTGTTATTCTGCCCCCCTGAGGCATCCATGGCATGAAGGGATAGTAGAGTTCTGGCGCGATCCAACTCGTCCTCCAGCGTCAGGAGACGTTGCTTGCACAACTCACACTCCCTCTCCGCGGCCTCGCGACGTACCTGCTCCTCTTGCCAATGATGCATGTAGCTTGTGCTCGCCTCTTGGCATATAGCAAGCTCTTCCTGCAGGCACCCCACCGTTATTTGATTCCCCTGAATGACCGCCTCCTGTTGGGAGGACTTACCCGAAGTTAACGCGGCAGGCCCCTCGTGAGACAACTCGGGCCGCTGCGTTTTATCAGTGAGCTGCAAACGCAGCGCCATTTTCTCCGCAGCAAGTTTTTCACTTTCGTCAAAGGCATCCTGCAGCCTGCTGTGTAGTTCCTTCAAGACGACTCGTATCGAGTCGGTATGCGGCGTCTCTCCCGTCACCCTCGGTGGAGAGGCTTCGGACAGGGGCGAGTCTACATGTGGCTTTTTTTTTGACACATCATTATCATCATCCGTACGGCTGGCAATGCGGCCAATAGCTTTTTTAAGAGCATCCGCCAAGACGCGATTCCTCGCCTGCAGGGCTGCAACCTCACGCCTGAGTCGCGAGACATCATTGTGCAGTGCGGTTGTTTCCTCCACAAATAGTCGGGCTTTTCCCTCAATAAACACGCGGACGGTCTCCTTTTCAATGACGTTAGAGTCACGATCCATGACGCTCGCTGGCACCGCCCCCGCGGCATGAGATGTGCTGCGGGAGGCTCCCAATGTTGAAGATTTCTCCCCGGCAGAGAGACCCGACAAAGTTGTTTGACACAACCACGACCGCACTGTCCCGTCCGTCGCCGCGGCCCAGAGCCGTAATGTCACAACCGGTTCAATCGGCCTAACAAAGAGGGTAAAGTGACTTGGTGCCTCGGACGCATCGGAGACCAAATGCCGCAGAAAACACTTTTCAGCATCCGTCCCGCTGCCGCCACTGTGGAGATGACGTGACCTGGAACTCGGGCGGCTCACAGCGGGTCCCTTTGGGTAACTCACCGGAAGTTCACTGAGCATCATCAATCGACTGGTATCCCACAGTGTGACGCTACCGCCTCGAGTACAGACCCACATGTGCCGTGGATCCATGTGTGGGGCGCAGTAAAGATAATGTATCGGTGAACACGAAGGAGTGACCTCATCTACACGTCGCAACAGTGTACCGCTGCCAACATCCCACATGTAAATAGCACCAGTTTCCGTTCCACCCCATAACGTCAGCTGTTGCGCCGTCCCCGAAGAACTGTGACGCGGGGCAAGCGTCATGGAGATGACAGCCGCCTTAATGCCACCGTACGTCATGAGAGACCTCCACGCCGCCCCCATCTCATGCGGGTACTCCAGCAACATAATTTCAAAAACACCACTACCACCGTCTGCAGCCAAGGCCCCTTCAATTCCACCAGGAACAAAGACGCAACCCGGCAAACTCTCATCCGAAGTCAGACAACGAAAAG